CCCCTCTTTCCCTCTCTCTCTCCTCTCTCTCTCTCCCCCTCTCTTTCTCTCTCTCTCCCCTTTCATCTCTCTCCTCTCCCTCTCTCTCTTTCTCTCTCTCTCCCCCTTCATCTCTCTCCTCTCTCCCCCTCTCTTTCTCTCTCTCTCCCCCCCTGCATCTCTCTCTCTCTCTCTCTCTCTCTCATCTCAAGAAGGTCATCATTACCACCTCTGATGTCACTACACGAGCTGGCCCTTTAATTAGCGGGCGTGCGCTCTCACCTGTCTTGTCGTCGTTGTCATCGAACTCCACCATGACAGAGTGACCGTTGTTGGAGAGGCCGATGGACGTGCACTGGTCGTAGGACACCACCAGAGGCTTTAGGCTGGGGTTGAAGACGGCCTGATTGGCCACGATATTGATGGGGGACTGGCGGTTTCCCTGGGCGATGGGGAATTGGCGATGCCACTCGGAGGGACCTTCTCTCTCTCCCCCTTCATCTCTCTCCTCTCTCCCCCTCTCTTTCTCTCTCTCTCCCCCCCTGCATCTCTCTCTCTCTCTCTCTCTCTCTCATCTCAAGAAGGTCATCATTACCACCTCTGATGTCACTACACGAGCTGGCCCTTTAATTAGCGGGCGTGCGCTCTCACCTGTCTTGTCGTCGTTGTCATCGAACTCCACCATGACAGAGTGACCGTTGTTGGAGAGGCCGATGGACGTGCACTGGTCGTAGGACACCACCAGAGGCTTTAGGCTGGGGTTGAAGACGGCCTGATTGGCCACGATATTGATGGGGGACTGGCGGTTTCCCTGGGCGATGGGGAATTGGCGATGCCACTCGGAGGGACCTGGAGAATGGGGGGGGGTGGGGAGAGGGGAGAAAGTTAGTGACCATTCACTCTACAATAGGCATTGGTATCATTTAGAAATGTCATTAGCGTGTTGGTGATGGAGGTGGGGAGGGAGGAACCAGGGATAGGCAACATATAAGCAGATTGAACTTTAAGATAGAAACAAACATTATAGAGATCATGCTGTGCAGAGAGCAATGTGAAGGTGTAACCGTCGGTCACACGGCTCTAATCAGCTCAGAGAGGTCAAAACAGTCAAAATATAATGAATGGCAGCATAAGTTAGGGCACTTTGCTCTTTGCCTCATTAAAGCAGACCTCCGCAGTGGCACTACGGCTGCATTGCAAGGGTTACCTGCTCACTTTGTTCTAGGGTCTAAAATATACTCTCCTGGCCCTTGGTCCTGCCTGACTGCTAGACTGGTCCCTGCAGCCTCTTCTCTCCCGGGCCCCCGGATGTCTAAGCCCCAGTTATGTTCTCACCTCTAAGTCTACACTGACTTGCACTGTCTTTTAGATTGTAAGCCCTCAGGGGCAGGGCCCTCCTTACCATCTTGTCTTAAATTGTATTGTGACTGTAATGTCTTCCTTATATTGTAAAGCGCTGCGCAAACTATTGGCGCTATATAAATCCTGTATAATAATAATAATAATAATGTGAGCGCGCTGAGGGTTTACAGAGTGCAAATCCTGGATTTATAGCACATGATGGTGCCGGGCGCCGACAGAGGAAGATAAACAAATACAACTTCTATAGGCCTCTATAGGTCTCCATAGATCTCTATAGGTCTCCGACTCTCCATAGATCCCCATGAGGATTTAAGGTAAGGATTCAGGGTGAGCATTCAGGGTGAGGATTCAGGGTGAGGATTCAAGACAAGGATTTAGTGTGAAGATTCAAGGTGGGGGGTCAATTTACGGATTCAGGGGGAGGATTCAGGGTGCGGATTCAGTTTGAAAATTCAGGGCAAGGAATAAAGGTGAGAATTCTGGGTGAGGATTCAGGACAATGATTCAGCGTAAGGATTTGAGGTGAGGATATATCGTCAGGATTCAGGGCGAGGATTCAGGGGGAGAGGACTCATGGCATGGATTCATGGTTAAAATTCAGGGCAAGGAATAAAGGTGAGGATTTAAAGTCAGGCTTCAAGGTGAGGATTCAGGACAATCATTCAGCATAAGGATTCAAGGTGACATTCAGGAGGGGGATTCAGGGTGGGGATATAGAATGAGGATTCAGGGCAAAGACTCAGTGTGAAGATTCAGGATGTGGATTCAGGGTGAGGATTTAGGGAGAGAAAAGAACTAACATAACTGCCACGTTACAGAACACTGCTAGAGATTATTGTCACATTACAGGTGACTGCTCAAGAATGCTTCCATGCTACAGGAGAGTGCTGCCAAGTTACAAGAGACTGTTACGGACTACATCCATGTTACATGACATTTCTGCCATATTACATGCTAAGTTACAAAGCTCCAAACTGCTACCATATCTCTATTTGTACAGTGCACAGGATCCCTAACTAAAGATCTATATAGAGGGATCAGGACCTCCTTCCTCCTGCTGGGGACCCCTCTAGTGATAATAAAGATCTATATAGAGGAATCAGGACCTCCTTCCTCCTGCTGGGGATCCCTCTAGTGATAATAAAGATCTATATAGAGGAATCAGGACCTCCTTCCTCCTGCTGGAGATCCCTCTAGTGATAATAAAGATCTATATAGAGGGATCAGGACCTCCTTCCTCCTGCTGGGGATCCTCTAGTGATAGATCTATATAGAGGGATCAG